ATTAGTGTTCTTACTAGAAAAGACACTATTGAGCTTTCAGTTTCTCTGTCTTTCTGCCATGTGAAGACATGGAGAGAAGGCAGCTGTCTACAAGCCAAACAGTTTGCACCAGAACCCAACCATCCTTACAGCCTGACCTGGGACTTTCTGCCTCCAGAACTGTGGTTAATCAATGTCTCTTGTCTGAGTCCCTCAGTATGTGATATTTTCTTATAGCATCCCAGGCTGATTAATAGCCCTTGCCTCTCCTCTCATTTTTTGCTACCTTCTCCCTCTGCCACTCTTCAACAGAGAATGTGGACCTGGTGTCTACATTGCCTAACCTTTTATTTTTAAATTTACTTATTTATTTACTCTAATTAGGTATATATGACAGCAGAATGCATTTTGATTCATTGTACACAATTGCAGCACAACTTTTCATTGCTCTGGTTGTACACGATGTAGCATTGCACCATATGTGCAGTCATACAGGTACCTGGGGTAATGATGTTCGTCTCATTCCACCATCTTTCCTGCCCTCATGCCCCATCCCCTCCCCTGCCTTTATCCCAAAGTTACTCCATTTTTCGCATGCCTACCCCTCATTATGGATCAGCATCCACTTATCAGAGAGAACATTCGGCCTTTGGTTTGGGGGGTTTGGCTTAATTCACTTAGCATGATATTCTCCAACTTCATCCATTTACCTGCAAATACTTTTATTCTCTTTTATTGCTGAGTAATTTCATTGTATATATATACCACAGTTTCTTTATCCATCCATCTGCTGAAGAGCATCTAGGTTGGTTCCACAGTTTAGCTATTGTGAATTGTGCTGCTATAAACATTGATGTGGCTACATTACCACAATATGCTGTTTTTAAGTCCTTTGGGTATAGACCAAGGAGTGGGATAGCTGGGTCAAACGGTGGTTCCATTCCAAGTTTTCTAAAGAATCTCCATACTGCTTTCCAGATTGGTTGAAGCAATTTGCAGTCCCACCAGCAATGTATGAGTGTGTCTTTTCCCCACATCCTTGCCAACACTCATTGTTGTTTGTATTCTTGATAACTGCCATTCTGACAGGAGATGGAATCTTAGTTTAATTTGCATTTCTCCAATTACTAGAGATGTTGAATATTTTTCATATATTTGTTGATCAATCATATATCTTCTTCTGAGAAGGGTCTGTCCAGCTTCTTAGCCCATTTATTGATTGGGTTGGTTTGTGTTTTTTGTTTTGTGTTGTTTTGTATATCTGTTAAGTTTTTTGAGTTCTTTATATATCCTGGAGATTAGTGCTTTATCTAATATGAGTGTGACAAAAATTTGCTCCCAAAATGTAGGCTCTCTTTTTACCTCATTGATTGTTTCTTTTGCTGAGAGGAAGCCTTTTAGTTTCCCATTTGAATCCATCCCATTTATTGATTCTTGATTTTATTTCTTTCACTTTAGGAGTCTTATTGAGGAAGTGGGGGCCTAATCCGACATGATGAAGATTTGGACCTACTTTTTCTTCTGTTAGGCACAGGTCTCTGGTCTAATTCCTAGATCCTTGATCCATTTTGAATTGAGTTTTGTGCATGGTGAGAGATAAGGGTTTAGTTTCATGGCTGCATATGGATTTCCAGTTTTCCCAGCATCATTTGTGGAAGAAGTTATATTTTTGCCTATATTGCCTAATCTTAAGGTCTAATCTTAAGACCTCCCAGCTGTGTTCTGCTCCTTTATCATTAAAAAAAAAAGATGAATATCAAATCTACTGTAAGATTTTATCTCACCAGTCAGAATTGTGGTTATCAAGAATACAAAACAACAATGAGTGTTGGCAAGGATGTGGGGAAAAGACACACTCATACATTGCTGGTGGGACTGCAAATTGCTTCAACCAATCTGGAAAGCAGCATGGAGATTCCTTAGAAAACTTGGAATGGAATCACTATTTGACCCAGCTATCCTACTCCTCGGTCTATACCCAAAGGACTTAAAAACAGCATATTGTGGTAATGTAGCCACATCAATGTTTATAGCAGCTCAATTCACAATAGCTAAGCTGTGGAACCAACCTAGATGCTCTTCAGTAGATGGATGGATAAAGAAACTGTGGTATATATACACAATAAAATATTACTCAGCAATAAAAGAGAATAAAAGTATTTGCAGGTAAATGGATGAAGTTGGAGAATATCATGCTAAGTGAATTAAGCCAATCCCAAAAAAACAAAGGCCGAATGTTCTCTCTGATAAGTGGATGCTGATCCACAGTGAGGGGTGGGCATAGGAAAAATGGAGTAACTTTGGGTAAAAGGGAGGAGGGGAGGGGGCATGGGGGCAGGAAAGATGGTGGTATATATGCCATCATATATACCTAATTATAATTAATTAATTAATTAATTTGAAAAAGATGAACAAAGTATTCTACCTATCTTGCCTTATCTAAAAGAAAAATAAAAGGAAAAAAAGGCCAAATGTCATTACACATATAAGTTAATGACAACGTCCTGAAAGGAGACAAAAAGCTAGAGAAAGAAAAACTTGAAGGCAAGTGCAAAGAAATGACAAAAGCTGGCAAACAGACACATTCAAGGAGAGCAGCTCCTGATACACCCTCTCCATCGCTGAACTGCTCCAAGATCCAGCCTTCCTCCTCCTGCCATTCCTCTCCACAGCATCTCCCCATCATCACCTTGCTGCAAAATTTATCATTTTTTCTTTCTACTCCTGATGAAACTTATTTCAGTCCATGAAACCCCATATTCTCAAGCTTAGATTTACATGGGTCACAGAAAAACAATCTGTGGTTGAGAACCAGCAACCCTCCCTCCCAATAAACATCTGTGCAGGTTAACTAGATCTGTGTGTCTACAAGTAACATGTCCCTCTGGGCTAGGGGAGTATTCTTTCAAAAGGAAATGCCAGCCAGGCGCAGTGATGCACTCCTGTAATCCCAGCAACTAGAGAGGCTGAGGCAGGAGGATCATGAGTTCAAAGCCAGCCTCAGCAGAATAGAAGGCACTTTGCAACTCGGAGAGACCCTGTCTGTAAATAAAATATATATTTTTAAAAGAGGCTGGGGATGTGGCTCAGGGATTAAGCTCCCCTGGGTTCAATTCCTGATACCAAATAAAAAAAAGCAAATGCTAGCCCAGGACTATCAAACAGGAATATAATGAGTGCTACAAATGCAAACCACACATTTTAAAGTTTCTAATAGCCACATTTTCAAAAAGTTAGAACATGTGAGTGAAGAAGTTTCATTAATCTATCTCATTTAACACAATATATCTAAAACGTTGTTAGTTTAATACATGAACAACACAAAAAATTTAAAAGATACTTCTCAGTTTTTTTCTTTCAAACTAGATCTTCTAAATCAAATATGGATTTTACATTTATAGTACATCTTTATTCAGACTAGCCACATTCAGTAGCTTAATGTGGCTACCGTAGTGATAGCACAGCTCTGGCCAGGTGAAAGAAAAGGTGAGGGAGGCCCTGGCATATCAGCAGACAAGGAAAATCCCCCACCATATAGACTCCCTCTCCCACCCTGGAAAGCACATGCCTATTGCAAAGGCAATGAACTAAACACTCCTTTGACGTTTGAGATTTTTTTTTTTCATTTCTCTCTAAGAAAGTTACTCAAACCACTATCTCCTCAATATAGCATTAGAATTTCATATAATCAGAACAAAATTTTCCCTCAAGTCATCTTAAATTTAGAAATTGTTAATAATTTCTAAGAGCAGAGAATGGCCTGATGTCTCCTCTTATCATTTTTGGGCAACCAAAAGGACTCTGCAGACTGTGTTATGTAATGCTCAAGCTTCTTTTAGTGAATCCCTGAGAAAGTGATGACAGCCCATTAGTTTTATTTGCTGAGGAAGCAAGCACCACCCAACAAAAATGCCCCATTTTTATCAGGTACATGGGTATATGACAGTAGCAGGCTTCTGTATTTGGGACTGAGAGTAGTGTTTCTCCCAGGTGTAGCTCTGGGAATTGTTTTCACTGGACTGGAGTAAATATTAGACCTTCAATTATAGCAATCAAGTGTCAAAGTCTTATGTCAGGTTTATTCATATGATAGGGTTCCATTGCTTCTAAAGTGATACCCAAGCTCTTGACATCCTTTGAATGTTTTCCCAAAGGAATTTAATAGTATAAATTTCAAAAGAAGAGTGATAATGAGGGATGGTACTGCTTAGGTCTAATAAGATGGGGTTCATTTTGAGGAGCAAATTTTTTGGAAGGGCTACTGAGACTTGTTTTGCAGAACACCCTGCGGACAATCACTAATCTTTTATCTCTTTCTTAGAGCCTCTCTTAAACTTCTTATTCTTATCTTTATTATCTTTAGTATTATCAGATCTTATCTTTATTTGAGGGGTTAGCTGATAGAAATTGATAACAGGTAAGATTTTTTATGTCCAGGGGAATTTTCTATTTTAAATGCCATAAAGCCTTCAGAAATGAAAGAATTGAATATCTGTGGGATTTACCATGCAAACAGAGTTTCCTGGATTACCTCAAACTGGACCCCTGCCAACTCTAAAGCTGACTTGGGTTGAGAGTCTAGTCTTTTCTCATTATCATTTTCCCCAGAAGGGACAATGGCAAGTTGTTTTGTTTTCAGTTGAATAAAACTTTAATTTGAAGCATATTTCTACTTGATTGTAGCTCTTGTGAAAGGTTTTTAGGGAAAAGGATAACATGAAACTTAGGATTTTCAAGGATGGCTCATTCCCATGGTTAGTTGAAAATAAATGCATATGAATTAAAAAAAAATTAAAAAAAACTTTGCAAGTATGATCCTCCTTACTCTCAAGAGGCTTCCAAGTTTTTTCACAAGCACCCGAAATTGGTCCCTTCCATCCTCAAACTCTCTGGCCAGATGACACAACATCTGTGTTCTCTTTTGAGAACGTGAGAAATGAAGTTTTTTCATGTTTCCTGTCTTTGAATTCTAGAAGCTCCAGTTAAAACTGCTCACACTTTCCTTTTCTTGTTTGCTCTAGAAGACAACTTGTCAGAAGAAGAGTTCTGTGGTGGTCTCCCTCCTATGGAAGAGAGTGATAGGAAAATTAGCCTCATCATGGAACTGTCGACCCAGCTTTCCTTTCAGACAGAGAAGATCACTGAGTTGGAAGAAGAGTTGGAGGAGAAGGAAAGGATAATTCAGCAGCTGGAAGACAAATGGGAGCCCCATGTTTCCCAAAAGGAGGAAAACTCTTCAGAATGTTTAGAAGAAACCCCAATTTTCTTTAATCATAGCATCCCTCCTATGGTCTCTGATTAGGATAAAGAAAAACAATAAAAGTTTATTAAGTATCCTCAAGGTAAAGTCCAGAACCCAAGTAGTCTCCTCACTGACAAATTCAAGTTCAAGTTCATGGTTCCTATAATGTTCATATTAGAAAAAAAACAAAACAAAAAAGGTTTATTCAGAAACAAACACTAAATATTTCCTCTGCAGACAGTAGTAGTCACATAATCCACAGAGCTATAGAATACTATCCTTTTAGACATTCCTAGTAACAAAACTAGACAAGTGGTGAAAGAATTTAGCATTATCTTCTTACCAAATATTTGTCACACTGCAAGGAAGGGTGGCACCCATCCTGTCCTGGTGTGTAGCTCTGTTGTGAACAGAAAGTTGTCATGGAGAGCCAACTTCAGCTGGAGGTGTTTGAGTGCTGAGGAACAGAACCTTTGCTAACAGAGTTGGTAGCCCCCAGGTATGTGCTTTATGTCCTCTGAAGTTTATTTCTTTATGGTATACATTTTATTAACATTAACAAATAGTAGAAATAAAATAAACCTAAAGCATTTTAAAAAAAAATAGATGAATCAGAGCCATAGTCCTTTGGGAAAAGCATTCTGGGACAGCATCTCCCTGGAAAAACACACAATACTGATTTTTCCCTTAGGAAAAAGGACTAAGACCAAAGCAAAATACACTTTTCTATTATGATTGTACCACGTCGTTGTGAGCAGCACAAAATAATAGCAAGAAAAATAGAGCATGGGCAAAGGAAAGCTACCCTGTGATTAACAGGTTAGAGGGATCATATCATAGTCCTTTTCCATCCATTCCATTCAAATGAACTATTTCCCACCCAAGGGGAGCAACTAGACATTAACATTGAGAAAGATATTAGTACTTGATTCTTACCATTCTTACTCAAGCAAACAAATATAGCTCTCTCACAAGTAGAACTGAACTGTTGCTTCTTCAATTTACCTATTAAACAAATATTCGTCTAAACTCTTCTGTCTTCCAGGAACAGTCATACATGTTAGAAATAGAGGGAACACAAGAATCCCAACTTTTATTAGCCAGAAGTTTATAGACACGGGTGTCTTCTTGAATGTAAGGATGATTATAATAAGAAATGGGAAATTTTAAAAAGTGAGTAAGCATGGGGTCAACCTAGTGAGCATTGCTTTAGTAGAGGTTTTCATATTTACCAAGCAAGCATGATCAGTAAGAGAGTACACTCCTGGCTTATGGAATGTGGTTCAGGAATACGTATTTTAAGAAACACAGATGGTATTCTGGTTAGCATGTTCCAGGAACTTCAGTTTAAGATAATAGGTTGGGGCTGGCCTCACACAGAGCTATTACACTTTTGCTTCCAGACTAATGGACAATGCTCAGAAGGAGAATTGCTCTTTGTGAACCAGGATGAGTCTCCTATATCATTTAATTAGTATATAGTCTGATGGTGGATCCTGGCTACCTACCTACAAGGCAAGGCAGGGTCCAAACTTGATTTTTTAAAAAGGAAGTATTTGAGCTATATAATGACTATGAGGTTCAGTACAACAAACAAAACAAAAAACTGTGTGTTACCAGTAGTTTCTATTTTCATACTGAGCTACACTCTTCCCATATTTTTGTATAACCTTAGTTTCACATGTAATAGCTGCAAATGCATACAGATGCAGTTCAATATCAGAAATGAAACTAACTTACACCTCACTGATCATGAATATGCTCCTACCCCAGAAAACAGTTCAAAACATTTCTATGCCCTGTTGACCTCAGCCCCTCAGTCCACTTCAGAAAATTTTTCTTTCTGGTCCTCTCTTCTCACCTCTCTAAACCCCATGATCTTCTTGGTCAAAATTCACTATCTTCTCTGTCCCCAGCTTGATGTCCTAGCTCAATGTCCATGTCCTGACCACAGTTCCTGACACTACAATGATGCTTAGGGTTGACACTTCTTTACATTGTATTTCTGAGAGTAAGCATTAATCATTCCCTTTTGTTAAGAGTGGAACATTTCTAAGCCAACTATCACCTCCTCACACTTCAGATGTGTTATTATGGCTAACTAAGTCTCCATTTCTTTGTTTTATCAAATACTGTCTTAATCCTGTAGAACATTGGGGATGGTAAAAAGGGAAGGTAGGAAGGAAGAGAGAAAATCCCGTCACATCCCAGATAGGCACCTGGTAATTAACTTCTAGAAAATTTCCCCCATCACTGCCCTGGCTAGTCCTTACCATGAAAGCGGCCTTATGGTGGAGATAAAGTAACAGGCAAAGCAGATCTACTATTAATAATTAATTGAGCCTGTCACCTGTACATGTCAGCAGACCAGCCACCAAAGAAGAAGGCATCAAGAGTCACATCACACTGCCAAGCCATCTTTACAAAAAATTGATCTTGATTCAGGTTTAAGTTATCTCCAAATTAGAAGTTGGGAAGAGATTTGGTCCAATAGCAAATAGACTGATCTCTACTAGTGATATTTCAGTAACAAAAATTCTTTAGGTATTCAGAGAAGGAGATACTGGCCTCAGAGCAATTTCTAAGGAGAAAAATTCACATTTGCAATTGAATCTTTGTTAATGCATGCTCCCAAAGTTCATTTCCATTTTCTGCTATTCCTCCAGGAAATTGAGTAGTAAGCTGCAGATTGTCCTAATCACCTGGTTCAAACAAACTAAAAATCAGATTATGGTACACACTGTAAGCTGAAAGTTCATTTTCTTAGGAGCAAGTTAGAATCGCAAAGGAATCCACTGACCTTTAAAATATCTGGCATAAATATCATGAGGCAATTAACATGCTGATGTACTGGGTTCTTAATGAAAATTTAACAAATCATCAAGAAACATATCTGATTTTAAAATAACTAGAAATCCTGGGAAAAAAATATTGAATGAGTAACTCAAGCCATTCTCTAATTTTCTGAAAACTTTTATAGAAATATATGCAGAGTTTTAATTTCACTTTTTCACCAATCATTAACTTTTTTCAGAGAGAAAGTTAAGGCATATGTGATATGTCTCACCAGTTTAAGTAAATGTTGAATTTAATGATCATTTAATTATTGTATGCTTAAATGATTAATATGTTTGTATGCTTCCAAATATATCTGCAGCAAGCTAAAATTATAGCAATAGACTTACTTTATCTATCTATCTATCTATCTATCTATTTATTTATTTATTATTTTATTTACTTTTTGGTACCAGGGATTGAACCTAGGTATGTTTAACCACTGAGCCATATATCCAGCTCTTTTTGTATTTTATTTAGAGACAGGGTCTGTCTGAGTGCTTAGGGTCTCGCTGAGTTGCTGAAGCTGACTTTGAACTCGAAATTCTCCTGCCTCAGCCTCCTGAGACTTTATAGACATGCACCACCTCACCTGGCCAGCAGTAGACTTTAAAGATCAGCAGAAAATCAAGTCACTGGAGGAACTGGTCCATAAAAGTGAATGAAGTTCTTCAGGATTCAATTAAGTAAAGGTAGAAAAACTAACAATATAATACACTCTGTCTAAATGCATTTCTGCAAAATAATGAATCCTATCAAATTATAATTTTATGCTCCTCTGTGCTCACTCCAAAATCCAAACACTTTCTTCTATACTATGCTGAAGTAAAGAAATTTTGATTTAACTAAACAAATGGAGAAGTGTGGATAAATGTTGCAGGCCTAAGTTGAAATAATATTTACTTGGCAATTATCAAATATAAGGTCTGCAAAGACAAAATTATTCCAATATAATAAGACTTAAAAAAAAAGACTTGGAAAACTACAAGCTTGAAATTTAAAAAGTCTGACTCTAATAATTTTAAAACATTAGTGCTGGGGAGTGTAGCTCAGTGGTTGAACCCATGCTTGGCATGGGTAAGACCTTGTGTTCAATACTCAGCACCAAGAGGGAGAGGGAGAGAGAGAGGAAGAGGGAGAGGGAGAAAGGGAGGGAGGGAGGGGGAAAGAGAAAGAGAGGGAGGGAGGGAGGGAGGGAAGAAAAACAGACAGACAAAAAAAAGAAAAGAAAAGAAAAATTATAAAGAATAAGTAATAATTATTATAATTTCTCCCTGGTCTTACAATTAAGATTTCCCTGATACAGGACAGTATTCCTCATAATAAAAGAGAATCAAGTTCTAGCAGGAAATAACCTTAAGAAAAAAATATAAGTACAGAAGGACAAAGTTCATAACAAAATTCAGTGTTGGCTACATTCAGTGTTACCTCCATTTTCCCATGTCTAATGAAATTAGCATTTTTATGGTAAAACAAAATAAAAACAGTTCTATTCCCATCTTCCCAGAGAAGTCATTTCCATTTTCAACAGCATGAACCTGTGGCAGGATGACTTCAATTGTCTGGCCATTTCCATCTGTAAGAGCTATATTTGCAGGGCAGGATATGCAGCTTGGTGGGAGGATACTAAACTAGCATATGCAAGGTTTGATCCCTATAATAACCAATTTCCTTTTTTTTTTTTTTTTGCTTTGTCTATCAAATAATGACCCTTAATGCTCAATTCCAATAGTATGTAATTCATCTATTCTTGGATGGAAAAATCACATAATATGTGGTCTAATAACTCTTGAATCCATTTTCCTGAAATTTCACAATAAATTTCACCTACAGTTTGTTATCTGCTATCACCTTTTTCATAGAATGTTGATATCACAGAATGGGAAAGAACTAGCCCATGTCACGTGTGGTACAGTTATTGACAACAGTGAGTTACAGTTAAAAGATAGAGGCTTATAATATAATCCTCAGCCTAATAATAAAAAGGGGTGTCTTACTGCCTAACTGCTATTGAAATGAATTGGGTTTGGTGATGGTGAAGAAAACAAGAAATAGCTGTATGGGATGCCCATTATCTTCTTAGGGTCCTGCATTTACTAAGCATATGCTATGGATATAAAAATGTAACTCATATTTTCATAGAAATTTAATGAAAACAATTACAAGTTGATCATTTTATTTAATCCTCATAAAGGAGGTTTCAGCTATACCACAAATCCCAAATTTCTAACCAGAAAACACCAGAACTAGGGCCTATTGCTACCAGGCAAGTACCCTGCTCATCACTCACCACCCTGTGAGCTGTACAACAAAGATCTTCATTGTCTGTATCTCTTTTCTCAAACCAGCCTCCATTCCATTTATAGAAAAATGATTTTCCACAGGTACTTCTCTCTCTCTCTCTCTCTCTCTCTCTCTCTCTCTTTCTGGTATTGGGGATTGAACTCAGAGTTT